GTCTCACCATGTTGGCCAGGATGGTCTCGATCTCCTGACCTTGTGATCTGCCCACTTCAGCCTCCCAAAGTGCTGGGATGACAGGTGTGAGCCACCAGGCTCCTGGGCTATACCTGGCTAATTTTAAAAAAATGTTTCTTCTGTAAAGACAGGGTCTCACTATGTTGACCAGGCTGGTTTCAAACTCCTGGCCTCAAGCAAACCTCCTGCCTCAGCCTCTCAAAGTACTGGGATTACAGTTGTAAGCCACTGTGCCTGGCCTAGAATTTGCTAAAGCTATACTTCTAAAGTTCTAACAGATGTTGCATACATGCCTGCTCTACATGTGTGCAACTTACCCGTGGATCACAACTCTGTGCTCAATGACAAAATCATAATATGAATGTGATCTGAAGGTAGAGGGGAACAGAGCTAAGACCACAAACCTTTTCCATCTGGCATGACATAACTGGTTACTTCAAGGACCACTAGAGTTTACATAACTCAGCTATTACTTTAATGGATAGACTGGGCAACTACCATGCTCTTAAATATGTTTAATGAACTCGCTTAACAGGGCACAGCAAAAAGATGATGAGAAGACAATACCCTAAGCAGACTATAAGTGAATCGCTGGCAAAAGCTGAAAGACCAGATAGGACACAGTGACATGGATGGTCAGAAGATTGTCAGATGTTCCCAGGGCATGGCCCACAGAGAGAAAAATCTGTGCTGATTGTTTCCTCCAAATTCCTAGGCTGAGAGTTCCTCATTCTGAAGGTGTGGAAGGAAGCAAGCGTCCCAGTGTCCTGAGCAAAACCTTAAAAGTCTGGCCTGCACTTGAGACCCAGAAATACACATAAAGCTTCTGGAGGCATGAATAGGCAATAAGCACTTTCAGTTCCTCAAAAAGAAAGCTGCTGTATAAATACGGGCTATTATTACTACTATGATTTCAAGATAAATACAGCTCTCTTTTGTGTTGCAAATGCTTTTTTATTGACATTTTGGCAGCAACACGGTAAAAGAAAAGCAGGTGATCTGATGCTTTGAAAGCTGTGACCCCATAGGTATGAAGGCAGTTTATCTAGGCAAGCTATTAAGTGCTGTTTTATCAAATATTCCGATAGCAGGAAATACTAAGAAAGCCCTATAATTAACAGGCAGAGCCTGGCTTTCCTTTCTTGGCTTAGACGATTGTATTCACTTTAAATTTCATCCATTTGCCACTGGGTATGTTGCAATCTTGGAATCTCAGGACTAAGTCAACACAGCAACTAAAAGCTTGTTAAATGAGTAACCATATTAATGATGTCAATTCTTCTCCCAAGTTGGGGGAACCTTTTCTTAATTGGTCAGCTGATCCTGGGGAGAACAACACCTGAAGCACAACCCAGGAAAGAAAGGGTTGGCAAGGTGGTGCCTGCGCCCTCTCTCTCCACATGCCACTTTCCCAGATTCCGGGACTTACATCAAAGAGACACAAGTTTCAGGGTTGGAGACAGGAACTCTTACCCATGTAGAGGATTCCATCTGAACTTCGGCACGGGGATGCCTGCACCAATTCTGGGATGGTAAAAGGAAGTTTCTTCAAAAAAAAAAAAAAAAAGGGAAAAAAGTTAACCAAGTCTTGTGCAATTATTATAATTTTACCAGGCAGTCTGTTTCTATTACCTAATTCTGCTAAAAAGAGAGAAGCACTTTGCAGATGGGAGTTTTCCTAACTGAATACCAAGGAGAAGGGGGCACCCTACGCTTCCACATCTACTTTGTTTTCATTTTTATTTTTTTGAGACAGGGTCTCACTCTGTTGACCAGGCTGGAGTGCAGTGGCGCCATCGTGGCTCACAGCAACCTCTGCCTCCTGAGTTCAAGTGATTCTCCCACCTCAGCCTCCCAAGTAGCTGGGATTACAGGCATGTTGCCACTACACCCAGCTAATTTTCCACGTCTATTTTGACAAGCTCCTAGGTCCCTGAGCTCCATAAACATCCACTCCTTTACTTGACACCATGTGCCGATGCCCCTCAAGGTCTCCTGTCCAGGGTGCTTCCCAGGGGTGACACAAACCTTTTCTGAAAATATTTACACAAATATGGAAAGTTATATATTCTTTGAAATTCTAAGAGTGGGAGAAAGAATTGTCCTGGCTTGGAATACAGAGCTACAGCTGGCTAGACTGAGTAGAATGACAGTCCTTTGTAGAGCCCCCATGGGAGGGAGCCACGACATTGATGTTGAAGGGATGCAACCTTGGTGCCAAGCTCAAGCTTCGAGGGAAAGGAGAAGTCGCCATTACAGGGGCAACGCAAGAGTCTGAGGTGGAAAAGAGTTCTGATGTTTTCTTCAGTAAAAAATTCACTATTGAAAAACAAGAAAAATGGAGGCTTTTGGTTTTAAAGAGGAAGTTAAGATAGGTGCCAGGAAAAGAAACTCGAAGGAATCCAAATGTTTCAACTGCATTTCATCATAAAACTGATTCTTCTGAGTCTACAGCTGTCATCTGACGAGCTCTTTTGGTTAGTGCTCGTTTCAGTATACTTTATTTTTAGAACATTCTGTGTTCCTGAAATTGTTCTATAGATACCTGCTTTTATAGAAATGCCTCTACTGCATGGTCACCTTTTTCTCCAAGAAAGAAAAGATTTCTCTCTAGCTTTAATAAGCAGAGCTTTGCATACTAAATAACTTGGATTTTCCCATCATCCCAACATTCAAACCAAGCCTCAGAGGAGGAAAAATGCTTCAGAGAGGCTGCAGTGACTGGGTTTTGCCACAGGTTTCTGAGAATCAGAAAGGCACTGCAGATCGTCCAGTCTCCTGGAGTCCTGTGGTCTCTGCTTCAAGGCCCAAGCTTGGGAAACACTGTTTGTGGAGCTGCTAAACCACAACCCAGGAAGGAGCACAAGGGAGCGATGAAGGGCATCATCCTCTTTAAGAACCAACTCCAACACGAGAAGACTCGGCCCTGGACATATTCCTTCACTTCTCCAGGCTCAGTTTCCACACCTCTAAAATGGGGATATCACCCACAGGGCTGCTGAGAGATTCAAATGAGATAACTTATACAACTCACTCAGCCCAGTTTCTGGCAAACAAATTGCTTAAGAAATGAGGACTACAGAGCTGTGGAGAGAAACCGATGGAGAGCAGTGTTGAAGGTGAAATACACACAGCTCTGCACAAGCTTGCCCTCCTCCCCTCTGTTTTGGTCACAGGCATTCACAAAATAATTTTAAAATACCCAAGTTAAAGCCCACAATCCACTTACAGCCTAGACAAGTGGTTCTCATCCTCGGTTGCACATGAGAATTAATTGGAAGCTTTCAAAACTTCCTACTGATGCATAATATGCAAACAGAAAAGCACTCATCATCACACAGCTCAGTCAATGTTCACAAAGTGAACATACCCACGGAACCAGCATCCAGGTGAAGAAACAGAAGCCCCCCCCCTCTCTTGCCCCCCTTCCTAGCCATAATTCTCCAGGGTAACTATTATCCTAACTTCAAAACAGCAGAGACTCGTTTTTCCTGTTTTTGGCTTTATATAAGTGAACGGCAGTGTGTGGCCTTTTTGGTCTGTCTTGTTTTGTTCAACATGGCGCTTGCAAGTCATCTGTGGTGTGTGTCGTCAGACTGTTGTTGGTCCTCATCACTGGGCATGCCTCTTCTAGAGTTAATTTTTCCACTCCACCGTGGATGTTATTTGGCCACTCTGCTTATTATAAATGGTGCTGCTGTACATTTGGGCACGTGTCCATTGGTGAACAAACGTGCATTTCTCTTTTGTTTTTTGAGACAGAGTCTCGCTCTGTTGCCCAGGCTGGAGGGCAGTGGCACGATCTCAACTCACTGCAAGCTCCACCTCCTGGGTTCACGCCATTCTCCTGCCTCAGCCTTCCGAGTAGCTGGGACTACAGGCGTCTGCTACCTCGTCCGGCTAATTTTTTGTATTTTTAGTAGAGACGGGGTTTCACCGTGGTCTCAATCCCTGGCCACGTGATCCGCCCGCCTTGGCCTCCCAAAGTGCTGGGATTACAGGTGTGAGCCACCGCGCCCAACCACAAACGTGCATTTCTATTGGGTCTGTAACCTAGGAAGGCATTTCTGGGTCCTAAGGACTTTAGGACTTACTGCCAAACAGTTTGCCAAACCACTTGTGCCACACTGCACTTCCACCAGCAGTAGGTGAGAGTCCTGGTTGCTCCATATCACCACCACATTTTCTTTTTCTACTTCCCTTGTTTTGGCCATTCTGGTGAGTATCAGTATGGCACTGTGACTTTAATTTGCATTTACTAATGACTAATAAAATGGAACATCTTTTCATATGTTTATGACCATTTGGATATTCTCTTCTGTCATTCTTCCACTGGGCTGTCTTTTTTAATGTACCATAGGATTTCTTCATGTATTCTGAATATGAACTTTTGTTGGATGTGTATACTACAAATACTTTGTGACCCCTTAAGAAGGAAAAGTTCTTAATTTTAATATAGTCAATATATTGATTTTTTGCTAAATTTATAGTGTTCTTTAATATCCTATTTAAGAAATCTCTACTCACTCTGAGATCATGAAGATGGTTCCATTACTTTTTTTCTTAAAGCTTTATTATTTTGCATTTCACATTTAGATGTGTGATCTATCTGGAACTGAATTTATATGTGTTGTGGGGGGTAGGAGTCAAGACTTTCATTCCTATATGGATATCTCAATTGACCTACACCATTTATTGCAAAAACACTGTAAGCTGGGTGGTGGTGGCTCACGCCTGTAATCCCAGCACTTTGGGAGGCCGAGGTAGGCGGATCACGAGGTCAGGAGATCGAGACCATCCTGGCTAACACAGTGAAACCCTGTCTCTACTAAAAATACAAAAATTAGCCGGGCGTGATGGTGGGTGCCTGTAGTCCCAGCTACTCGGGAGGCTGAGGCAGGAGAATGGTGTGAATCCGGGAGGCGGAGCTTCCAGTGAGCCGAGATCGTGCCACTGCACTCCACCAAAAAAAAAAAAAAAAAAAAAGTCCTGATGACTTAGATCAATTAAATCGGGACCTTCTAGGATTGGGCTCTATGTTCTAGGTCCCAATGCTGTTTTTTCGAATTCCAGGTTATTACAATGTATAACTAAGGCTGAAAACCACTGGTTTAGATTCTCAAATGGAGATGAGGATGGAATAACACATGACTCCCCTAAGGAGTCATTGGAAGGTGGGGCAGGTGGAGACAGCATTTCCCTATATCCCTCCCTCCTAAGGTGAGGGTCACCAGTTAGAGCAAACCCTGTTCCTAACACTATATCCTCCAGTGTATGGGCTGGGCCATGAGAACCTGCTGGTCTGCATCCGTGTTTCTGAACTCTGGCACCACATTTAAAAGCTCATTTAGGAAGCTCTCTGAAAAGACTGATGCCCAGGCTCCCCTCTAGATCACCTGAATCAGAATCCCCAGGGGTTGTTTTTAAAAGCTCTGGGCGGGAGACACAATAAGACACCGTGCAGACACACTTAAGGGCTGCTGGTCTAGAACCCCTGGAGTACAAAAAGAAGCTAAATATACTCACTGTCAGGCCTTCATTATTCTTGCTTCCAAGCGTATACAGGCTGCCATCATTAGGATCTGGGAGAAAGGCAGGCCTAGAGATTAAATAATAAATATCAAAGATAAATTACAGTCCAGGGCACGGAACAACATATCAAAGCCACGTGAACCCATGATGGAGTAATAGAGAGTCGGGGGTGGTTGTGTGTGGGTGTATAAGTGAGTATATAAGACAATTCCATCCACTATTCTCTCTCAATTCAACCACAGATAAATAAAATACCCCTATGGTGGTAAACACTATCCTCGACTGGAGAAAAGCGGCCTGAAAGGAGAAATCATACAAAACCACAGAAGACAAATCATCATTTGGTCAAAGCGCTCTGGATGAAGGCAAAATATGTGAAAAGGACCCAGCAAGTCCACTTTTCAATTTCTACATCAATTGTATATAGAACTTCAGCCATTAATATTTAATAGCATAGTATGGTACATAAACAGGTAGAACAAATCTGCTTTTAGTTTTCAAGAGATATTTTTTGTTTAACTGGAGGCAATAAAAGCAGACACTAATGGCTTGACATCAGAGAGAACCCGCCAAGGGGACAGATCAAGGTCTCTCCGTCAGTAGCTTCCCTCGAAGCAGATGTGAAGTGGTCTTTTGTCAAGTTAATCTGCTAAAGACTGAACTGTAACTACAGTCCCTCAGAAACTCTTGGCTGAATTGTTCCTTTACTTAGGTTGCGTCATCATTTAAGGCTCTTACAGGCGCTATCCAGCTTTTACTCCAACACACGCTCTGCAGTAGCAGGTCACATTCACCTTTTTTCTCCATGATATGACACAGCAAAGAGGAAGAGGTCCAGTCCCCCTGAGGACTTTGGAAGTTTAATCTCAAAGCTCAACTTGAGTTTCATCTCAAATAAGCCTTTTTAAAACCACTACCCTTCTCCCCCAGGAAACTGACGACCTCCTCCTCAATACAGGCTTTCATCATAGCACCTGTAAGACTTTATATGTCACTCACTGTTATTCCTCAAACTTACACATATATGCACTCCCAGCAATTGGCCTCATAAACACTGATTGAATGAAGACTGAATTTAAGGGAAGTACTGAGCAAATCGGAAAACTTACTCTTCCACATGCGTTGGGACCTGCAGGACTGGATCTGTGCAAAAGAACAACAAAGGCATCATCAGAAACATCCCAAAATGTCAAGATTCCCAGAGGCTTCCCAGGACCAGGTCAAGTTGTACTGGTAATAACTTTCTCCCCCATGTTAACCTACATGGTCTAGTGTACGTGAAGGTTATATGCACGTTTGCATCATCATGCATATCTTTTAGAAAACATATCCACAGTGATGCAAATGTAAGCTCTGGATAGTCACCGAGGCTGGGTAGAGAACTGAGACCGGAACATAACTGCTTTCAAGAAACCTGCATATAACTTGGGGGATGGATGCAGAAGGAAGAACCAGCCACCACCCACAGTGGACAAGGGGTCAGAGCATCACTATCTGACACCTCAAGGACTTCTAAAACCTAAATCATTACCTTGTCCGATGCCTGGAGTAGCTCTACATATTCCCATTAGGAAAAGTAAAACTGGTTTAAGAACTGACATCGATTGGATAGCAAATGGATACACCTCTTTGGAGCGGCAATCCTAGAGCCTCCAAGTGTTCATTCCCTTTGGCCCACCCATTGCATTTCTATAAAATCTAATTTAAAGATAATATAAAGTATAGAAAATGGTTTTTTGTACAAAGATGTGTATGTAGCAGCATTACAAATGACCTACCCAATAATATGGTTAAATTACAGAATGTCCCCTGGGCAAAAAATTAAGGCTTCTAAGAGGGCTAATAAAGTTTTAAGACATAAACAAACCTACGCTAGTATGTTCAGGAGAAGAGATAACATTGTACATACAGTATTAATGCAACTATGGGGAAAGGCTTCAATGTACCTAACTAGATGGAAAGATCAAAAATGCTAATTGTAAATTATCCTTGTTGGGAATGCAACTCCCCCCAACCTTTTCTATATCTTAAAATTTCTGCAAGAGCAGGCATTACTTTTTAAATTGAGAACGTGTTTTTTTCTCTAAGTCAATTTTACACTTGCAGCAATTAATGGCAGAATTCTTCCCTCCCTAGATTTTCCTTGGCACAAAGCAAGAGGAAACTCCTGATTCCAGGGGCAGATGGTGGTGGCAGTGAGAGAGCATGAACACTGGCACAGCAGCACTGTGTAGTGAGAGATCTATACGTCCACAGGCAGGAGATTCACAGCGATGAGGTATTTCCAGCAACCAAAACCCCACAGCCTTGCTATACACAACTTAAGCTCTGGGGGCAAGAACAGCAAGTATTCTTATATGATTTTGTATGCAGAATTCCAGACTCTGGAGGCTCTGCTTATGGTGACAGACAGCTGTCCAATCCATCCAATTATTGGATGAAGGAAAATCTTTTAAGCCTTATCACATGTTGACTTTGCTTAAAAGCCCAGCTCCTATACAAAGGCATATGGTGTTCACAATAACAGGTACACACACCATATGTGGTCTGTGGGCAGCAAACAAACAATTCACTACACCAAAAACACTTTAGGAAACAGGAAGAACTTTCAGTCAGTAAGCATATGTTTATCTTCCCCATTAATCACCTCTCGGTACACTCTCACAAACAGACTGATGCAAGAGACAGGAAATAAAGGCACACCACACTCATCCTACTCAAACGAGCTAGTCAAGGTGCAATAACCCAGTTACCTTAACACGGGCCTGAAGCCACACAAGTCAAGAAGAGCAAGAATATCATATTCCGAAGAAAACATGGCAGTAAATGGCATCTTTTTTGTTTGTTTCAGCCACTTAAAGGTATCACAGATAAACGCAGATTAAGAGGACGCAGCCAAATTCCAGCAATTCACCAGAAACAAGACATGGAGACCAATACGATTTAAATTCCTGTTCATAACCTGATCTTTGCTGTACAGTGTTTGCTCAGTCTCACAGACTTGTCTTCAGATGCAGATTTTCCAGGTTTTCTATAGCTTAGCCACTGGTCACCTGACACTGAGGCCTCAGGTCCCAAGATGTGCTCTGTACCAGGAAGGTTCCAGTTAAGATTCAGGACGTTGGCAGGAGACAGGGGAAGATTCCTGGGACAACTACATTGGTGTTTAAGAACTGTGATCTTTTTTTTCTAGGCTTAGGAGAAGATAAACTCCAGTAGGAGGACCTTATGGTTGTCTTAGCATTTCCCATCCACTCAGTAAAATAAGTACCTGGAATAAACCTCTTCAAAGCTGCAGGCCAGGTAAAGACGCAATTATTACGACAGTTCTGACAGAGACAGACACACTGCTGCTTGGCTTCTGAAATGTAACAATGACCTAATTCTGTAAATGTTTTTCTTTAAGAATCATCTGAATTCAAGATTTGCTTTAAAATACTACAGAAAATAATTACATGGGGGTGGGGAGGACAGATAAAACAAAAAGTGGCAGGCTGTTGATAACAGTTAAAGATGAGAAATGGGAACCCTGGAGTGTTATTTTACTACTCTCTATACATATGCTTAAAGTTTTTCATATTAAAAAAGGTTAAAGAGAAAAATCTTTGGAAAGTCAGCAAAAATAAAAACAGAGCATTATCTGAAAATGTGCAATGAAAGAACAACATGAAAAAGTGGTTTTGATTTAATAATGAGAACTGGTATCAGGCAAGATTCTTGCTTTAAAAAAAAAGTTTTCAGCCATGTGAAAAGAAATACTGTCCTGCCTGTAGGGATGTAAACAAATACTGCTGTAAAATAAGCCACTATCTATATGGGGCCTGATAAGAATAAAAGCCAATGTCACCAAGTTGTTTTACTTTCAGAAAAAAAAAAGTTGGGGGGAGTCACTTCACAAGTATAAAAAGTGGCTATTATGTAAGGTAAAGGTAAAGGTAAGGTTATCTGGTAAAGGTACAGATATGGGAAAATGTAGCTGAAATAAAGGTTTGGTCTCCCAGGATTAACACGGGAAAGAAACAGCAGTCACTGGCCTCAACTCCATTGCCCGGCCCCCATCGTGTGTCCAGCTGAGGCCTGGAATGGCACAAGCTTTACACCTGCAGGAACTGACATCCTGGGTGAGGTCAGGAGATGCTCATTGCTAGGCTATTGTGCTAATCTAAATCACCTCTTTAAGCTCAAATGACAAAACAGACGTCCACATCTTCCCTTTGTCCAAGTTCATAAGGTAAAGTTTTAAACATTTCTGTCCCCAAAAGCAGTGAATTTTTGTCCCCACTCCCTCCTCCACACAGGGAGGAACACTGCCAGCTTCTCCCTTCAGCCTTTCTTCTCACTCAGAGAGCACATGCCTCTCTTTAACTTCCACCCTAACCACAGTGGGGTTCTAGGCTCCCCTCTCCTGGGTCCTCTCTCCCGGGTCCTCTCTCTGGATCAACTGGACACATCCACTACTTCCCACCAACACCTCAGCCTCTGCTTGCCCAAGTCACACCCTCTGTCTTTTGACCCAGGCTGGCCTCTACTCCTGACTACCGTATTTTATTGACAGTACCACCATTCTCCTAGAAGACATCCATGATTCAGACGACACTGTTGACATCTATTTCTCCCTAACACATGCTATCGGTTGCCAAACTCTGTGGTCTATTTCGGTGCCAATCATAGTTCTGTGTCCTGTTTCCATTCCCATTGGAACCCTTTGTCTTCCTTCCTCTCCTTATCTGTGTGGTCTTTGGAATCAGACAAACGAAGGTGTAAATCCTGGCTCTGCCAATCACCAGCTGAGTGACCTTGGCAAAGTTACTTAAGCTTGCAGAGCCTCAATTTCCTCATCAGTAAGGAAAAAAAAAATAGAGATAAAATCAACCTCATGGGGTATCTCTATGTGGATTAAATGTTTGTCAAGACTGTAAGTCAATGCCTTGACACTGAGAAGAGTGATCCTTTGAAAGGCATAAATCAGATTAAGCTTCTCTGTCACTCAAAATCCTTTGGTGGTTCCCCATCTCACTCAGTGAAGGTCAGTGTTTACACAGCAGCTCATAAATCCCAAGCAGTCCCTCCCTTTCAACCTGTCACCCTCTAATAATCTCCCACTATTTCCCACACACTCCATTCCAGCCATGCCGCCCTCCAAGTATTCAACAAGCACTGCCAGGCCTGCCCCTGCCTCGGGACCTTTGCACTGGCTGTTCCTCTGCTTAGGTCTTTGATCAACTGTTGGCATCTCGGAGAGGTCTCCCATGATCACCTCCTACTGCCCAGGATTTCCTATCCTTCTTCCCTGCTTAATTTTTCTCCATGTCACTTACCACCTCTGTAGTTCTGTATATTTTATTGCTTACTTAATGCCTGACTCTGGCCACTGAGGGTTGGGATTTATTTTTTTTGTTATCTGCATCTTCCCAGGGATCTAAAACAATACCTGACACACAGGTGGTAACCAATGTATTTGTTGAATGGAGCAATTAAGTGTCATTTCCTGTCTTAGTCTGTTTGTGTTCCTATAAAGGAATACCTGAGGCTGGGTAATTTATAAAGAAAAGAGGTTTATTTGGCTCACGGTTCTGCAGGCTGTGCAAGAAGCATGGCACTAGCATCTGCCTCTGATGAAGGCTTCTGGCTGCTTCCACTAGTGGCAGAAGGCAAAGGGGAGCTGGCGTGCACAGAGATCGCAGGGCAAGAGAAGCAGCAAGAAAGAGGGGAGAAGGTGCCAGGCTCTTTTTAACAAGCAGCTCTCACAGGAACTAACAGGGTGAGGACTCACTCACTACAGTGAGGACAGCGCCAAGCCATTCACGAGGGATCCACCCCCAAGACCCAAACACTTCCCATTAGGCTCCACCTCCATCACTGGGAATCAAATTTCAACATGAGGTTTGGAGGGTCAAATATTCAAACTAGAGCAGTTTCTTTCCTACTTCCACTCTTGCCCAGCCTGGAAATCCATTGTTGATCACTTTTAATAATCCAGCAGATAAGCTCCACTCACCCTGAACCCAGGATCTGCATAGCAGTCCCTGTTCCTCCACCCAGGCTTCTGAGCACGGCTGTAGAAAATACTGCGATCATTTGTGGAGATACCATCATACACCGTATCTCCATGGTGTGGCCAGCTAGGCCCCTGCCACTAGGAG